TTGTCTGGGGAGCAATTGTCGCGGGAGCAACTGTCCGGGGAGCATCATTCGTGTTACCGAACTTATCATTGCTTGATATTATAACAATAAAAATATTTCTCTTCTTTGTTATACACATCAACCAGATATTTCATTGAAATACTGAATAGAAATCAAACTTTCAAAACAAAAACATATTTACCATACTCTGCTTCAATTTAATTCTATAACACACCTTTTCATTCATCGACATATTTTACTGATCAAAAAGACATATATGAATGGAAATAATTTTTTTTTTCAGGTGATTGATTTCTCTTTTTTTTCATCATGTAATTCTTTCTGAGATGTCGTTTGACTTATAAGTTAAATAGCATCAATTAAAACTGATAGTATGCCTTTAGTACTTTGATAATTAGTCTTCTTAATTACGTGTCGATCTGATAGTTACACAATATATATATGCACATTCTATAATGACGAAAAAAGAAAGTCGCATAAATGACATCGAGGGTGAGGGTGTTAAATATGAGTTACATAAAATTATATTTCACAGCCATATCCACACCTATATGCTGTCAAATTCAAACTGGATTCTTTACTTAGTTTGATTGGTTTCGAGTTTGATTTTGACTGAACGTTGGCTTGGGTTTGGCTCGATTTCCCATTCGATACGTCTCACATAAAGATTACAGACACTCTCTGTGAAAACCAGGCGTATGGAGAATCAGTATGTATGAGTGTGAGTATCAGTGGGTGTCGGAAAAGAAGGAATAGTCACACACCCACACACTTAAGGTGTTGCTCCAGAGAATATTCGGGTGCTCCGACATTTTACACCCCGCCGATTTCATAGTGAATGTTAATGAGGAAAAATTCTATGGGATCGCGTTACATGCTCTTGATTTATTACAAATGATATTTATGAACTTCTTCATTTTTCTATAGTTATCAACCGTTCATGGACACAGAAAAATGAACTACAAAAGAAATAGATAGTATAGAAAGAATTCATTCTCTAACATAGTCTCAGTAGAATAGAAAAGAAAAGCCACTGGTATTGGAGAAGAGCTGTCTTTTAACACATAAAGAAATGAAATCACAACGAATCCTATCTACCTGAGTAAAAATCCGAAGAAACATGAAGAAAGAAAATTAAAAACAGCAAACATTCATCAATTAATTTAATATGATGTTTTACATCAAATACTTGGTCTATATCTATTAGATATGAATCGAGAAGTATAAGCTAACTTATCCCGCATCTCTCTGTAAATCCAAAAAATATTTCCTTGAAATTAATGAAAGAAAGCAACATGGACTTACTCGATTGATTTCAATATGATAATTGGTGACGATCAAATATCTAAATGCAAAAAATGAATTTCAGATTTATTGGGAAAATTTAACATCTATTCTAAAAGTGGCAAGACTTTGTAGAGGAAACGCGCAAAAAAAACAGATATTATACTGCATCTTTATATTTTTCCGCGGTTAAGTGTACGATATTTATTAGAAAAAAAATAATAGTACAATAATGAATTCTTTTCTCATGAGATCATAGTTGCGCAAAAATCAGTGATTTTATCGACTTGTATTGTTCCAAAATCGTGAGATTGTGTCGACATTAAATGTCCAAAGACAACGATTTTGGTCGATTTTTCTCGTAGTTTTATTGAAAACTGCTTCATTATTCTTACATAGATTGACACATAAGCAACCCTATTACGAAAATAATGTGATGCTTCTACATTCATCGAAGCGATGGCTGTATTTATATAGGCTGAAAATGATTCAAACACTCTTTTTTGTCACAGATAAAGTTACCAAATATTATTAAGTATTGTTTTTCATCCCATGAAAAATATTTTATGTAAATTTAGAGGTAGGGGTGTGGGTATGGCTGTGGTGGGTGTGGAATGTGAGTGCACGTGTCGCTATTATCTGATTCATACTCACCACCATCTCCACGCACATCCACAATAAAGACCCACATCACCCACACCCACATAGGGTGATTCTTTTATTAAAATGAACGAATATTTTATGAAATAAGCACAAACTGTACACTGCGTAATACAATCAAAGCAGGCAGATAGTAACGAAGATTATTGCGTGTTAAATGCTAGTAAATATGTCATGAAATAGTTGATGTTTGTCGAATTGTTGTGTAATCTAAATAATTTCAAGATAGAAAGCAATGTTCATTTTGGTTCTATATGTTGTCTTCTTTGTATTGCACATTGTATTCATATCGAATTAATCGATAGAGCATTTCAATCACTTCCATTATTGAAAGAAAACTAATACCAATCCATAGACCAGTTTGACCTCCGATATTTGAAAGAACATTGACTAGAGTAAGTGTTGGTGTTTGTGTGTTATTTTCGACGATATTTGTCTCGGGTACAACGCTCACTGCAAGATAATTCGCATGAATATGTTCATGCCATATTGTTGACCAATTTGCAGGTAATGTAATCGTTGAATTTTCGACAAATCTTTTGATATCATCCATTTGCCATGGGACTGGTGCAATCAGAGACGATGTTTGAACAAAGAAATCAATTATGGAACATTGCTGGGTGCACTCAAAACAATACTGATTCTGAAGAGATTTTGACCCGAAGACTTTATCCCTTGCCTCAATATAACAGGTATTGTTTTCATTGCAAAGAGATGCTAGAATTATTTTCTTCGTATCAGGCATAACAATTGAGCGGGAGTTCCATGAACGAGGATTGATACAACCACATTGTTCATATCTACAAATAGAATGCATCATGTTAAAATAAATACGAGTATGAAGTCATTTTTGTTGATCGAACTTACACATAGATCTCTGTGCAAAGTTCATAACAGATAATTTCCAAGTAGCCATAATCAGCACCATTATATTTGTCGAACATGAGCTTCATTGAAAGAGAAAGTTTGTCTGTACATACCGTATATGGTGAAGGTGGAAAGTAGACTGTCTTTTTCGTATAACTCAATTTATGTTTTCGTCCTGTTGACAATTCTATGCCGGCTGCTTCAATACGTGGTAATTGGGTATTATCATGTACTAGAACCACCATGCCAATGCCTTTACAATAACA